CCACTTACCCAAAATTGTAACTTGACACCTGCAGCTCCAGAATACATTACACAAGGGGATAAGAAACAACAATGTGCAGCCTAGGTTCATGATACCATTCAGCAAAATAGCACCTCATGTTTATAATATAACAATTACTGTAGGATCTCCATGAGAGAACACACTTCTCTACATAGGTCAGTTCTCATCACCATTTAGCTGCTCTCTGGTAAGAAGACACCTCTCCCTAAAAGATACTTTGGCTCTGAAATTAGGTGCTGTCCCTTAGAGAATGGTGTTCCAAATGATATTAAATATTTATTTACAATTTTTTTGGTGCAAAAATTTTACCCCCAATATTTTTTTCTATGTTAATCTAAATGAATAAATAATGTTGTAATAAACAGTGTTTTTTCCTAAACATCACATACTATTTATTTAGATTTGATCTTATTACCTTACATTTCTAATCCATAATCCAAATTGTGCTTATCATAAATAAACTATAATTATATACATTATTTTATATTGAAAAAAGTAGTACAATTTCTATTGACTATTTATTTGATGATTAATTGCGACATTCCATTCACCATGCTGAATATTTGCCCATTGTTGTTTGTGGCAAATCCTTTAGAGGTAAATAGATATATATTTACAGGCTGCAAAAATTGAAATGGAGAATTTACAATTCTACAATTCAAAGAATTAGAATTTTAGGTTGAATCAAAAAAGCCGGTGTTTAATTAGTCTGTTAATCAATCCATTAACTGCTTGTGTGTATATAGAATAGGCCATTTTGTTTTCAATACTTAGCAGGTTCAATAAGTCAACTCAAGATATTGCAGTGTTTGACCTACCTGGATTGCCTTGTATCAGAAGAGGTTGAGGAGGAGGTCAAATGTTTTTTATTCTTGGCCCCCATTTCTGCCCCGGCAGATTTTTTGTGATGGTGGTGGTTGTACTCAGGGGAGCGGGGGGACTTGGGGGTCCGCTGGCTACGGCTAGGCTTCTTGTTGTTGTTGTTGTGGTGGTGGTTGTTGGCTGCGATGGCGGAGGGCGGGGTGGAGGGGGGCTCGGGGTAGGGCTTGCTGTGGGCAGACATCTGCTGCAGGAAGGTGTCCAGCAGGGTGCCGCTGTTGTTGTCACAGAAGAGTTTGTCCACCATGCGGCTAATGAGACTGCCCTGGGACCCTGTGATGGTCTTCTCCTTCTCCATGCACAGGTTGAGAGGCTGCTCCTCTGTAGCTCCATTCTTCCTGCGGCCTCCTTCTACAGGCTCCTGGAAACATACACACTTCTTTGTTGGTACAATGTCAGCACAAAATATGGTCATTATAACATCTTCCCTCACTTAAAGCATAGTTATAATATTGACATATGTATTATATCTCGTACTCGAGGAGCATGAACTCATGGAATTTGTGTAATCTTTACACAAGGGGATAAGAAACAATAACATATCTCATACTTTTCTATCCTAAAAAAAAAAAATCCAAATATTGAGAGTGTAAGAACCATTTTTTTTACTTATATATGTCTGAGCAAAACCATCAGATTATTTCAAAGCTACCCGCAACATTCAAGTGAAAGTTAAAATAGGAGAGAGAGAAGCTACTATCTAAACATATCTATTAATACAGAGCATGTCAAGCAGCAAGAGCAGGTTGTGAGAAATGTACCATAGGCTTAGAAAATTTGGACTGGTGGTTGAGGGCAGGGGAGGTGGCGTGGTTCATGTCCTCCAGGTAGCGTTTCTTGGGCGGCTTGCAGACTGGGAATGTGGTAGTGGGTGGAGGAGCCACCTTGGCGGCTGTGTGGTTGGTGGTGGTGGAAGTCATTTCCTCACTGGGGGGTCCGCCTGGGAGCACCAACACCACGTTAGCTGGCTGGCTCACAGATGATGCCACACAAGGACGTTCAAAGAGACCTAAAGAAATTAACTTCAGGCAAGAACTATATGAGAGGAGAATATTTGTTGAATAACTCTTCTCCTTTAAAAAAAAAAAAAAAAAAAACTTCAAAAGAGGTAAACCATCTCCACACCAGTGATTTCAATATTGTTATAACTAAAGTTTTGTCTACAAATACAATACTATTTCTATATAATAAGGTAGAAATATAATTTACATTAATGATTGGTATTGATCTATTTTAACCGTATATTCATGGACAGAACTTAAGGAAAATCTTTGATGTTGCTGGTCATCTTTTTTTTTTTATTCATAAGAAGAGGTAATTTTGTTCACACTATCAAATATCTTTCAGAGTTATTGTCTTAATCCAGATATACATGCTAAAAGGTACAACTTCCTTAAGTTTTGGTCATGAGAGTACATTGGGAAGTTCTATAGTAGGGCTCGGGTATCATAACTCTGATATAGAAAAGGAAGATGTAAAAAGAAGGTTTTACCTTTGGCAGCGGCAGTGTTGGTCTGCAGTAGCGCTGAAGATTGACACCATTCAGCTGACATCATTCTTCACTGCACATACCACCATCTTGTTAGATGGAAGAATCCTGTGGTGATAATCATGTTTCCTTCACTGATATAAGACAACAGTCCATGGCAGCAACCATCCATAGACTGGATTGGCCAGGGCAGGAAAATGTCAACAAGGTTTCCAGAGATTTACATATTTATTTTCTGTTCCTATTTTATATATACTCTACACCCTGCCTCCTAACTCAACCCCTACTATAATTTAAACCAATTTTTCAAATCCCAGCCATTTCCTTTTCAAAATACAATCTTTAATTCAAATTCCCATCAGCCTTTTTTAAAATTATCCCTAGTACACATGGTACAGGCTGTGATAATCATGGTGGGTAGAAGTTGGCTTTTTACTGTAAGTACACCACCTTTAATGAAACTTCACATTATAAGAAAACTTCTCAACTTGACACCTGAGGCTCCAGAACACATTTTGGCTTGAATTAGATGCACTAAACACGACCTTTGGGAGAGACTGCTACTTATCATCAAACAGCTCGAGGAGCATGAACTCATGGAATTCATATAACCTTTACAGAAGGGGATAAGAAACAACTTCTCCACATTGAGTGTACTTACAGCAGCAATCCATGTCTACTAGGGGGTGGTATATAGTAAAAGAAGTAAATGTAGAGAAAGAAAGAGTGGTTCTCCTCCCACCAGGCCAACTAACCCAGATGGTCCAATTCTATAAATACCCTGCTCCACCCACCTCCCCAATATAAACCCTGTGACTTTATTACTGACCTCCTCCCATCCTTTTTTAAACTACAATCAGAGACAGTACACCATCATAACCTATATCCTCCATAACTAAAGGGGACAAGCTAGGTAGATTTCAAATTTGTTGTTTCAAATATGGTACAGATTGGATACAGTAGATCCTTTATGGTGTTCAGAGTATCTTAACTCTCTTGGAATTCTTTCGCCCTGAAAGCTGAAAGAGATATGTAAATAGGGTACAGATTATATACAGTAAGTCCTTTTTGGTGTTCAGAGCATATTTCAACTCTATTGAATTTCTTTCACCCATAGTACACATATAATAAAATTGGACTGATACAGAGAAGATTAGTATGGCCCCTGCGCAAGGATGACATGCAAAATCATCAAGCATCCCCATAATACATGATGTGTATTTACAAAATGGAATGTATGAGGGTGGATGGAATTCTTTCGTGCTATTTTTTTTTTTTAAAACCATTCAAGAGATCAATTTTCATATTTAGCTATCGAAAAACAAAAAGGATTTTTGGGAAAGCATGGTGCTATATATTTAGTTTACTAATGTGACTTAAACCGGGCTGTTATGTATTGGGTGTTAGGTCCTTTAAGCTGAAGAGCTGTGCTTGAAGCACAGACTATATAAGCAGAATGAACAATACAATACTTGTATATTTTAAATCAGCAAAATGACTAGGAAGGTTCAACATTAAAATGAAAGGCCTTCCCCTCCAAAATCAGAGAATAACCTTATCTTCAACTATCTATTTCCAAAGGAAAAGTGTGCAAGGATGTCCTCTCCAGTTCCTTCCTGTAATCAGGTAGAATTTCCATATTGGCCCTGATATGTCAGAGCCCCCCACCCAGACAGTGGGGAAATCCTAATGGCAATGTGAGAGGGGGGAGAAAATATTACGACAGGATAGTAAAATAGGAAGACTTCCGGCACACTGTGTGCCTTCTATTGGAATAAATTGAAACTAAACAGTAATATAAACATGAGAACAGTGCTAAATGTTTCAAAATTTTAATTTAGCTTGTGGAATCTCCTTTAACCCTTAACTGGACGGGTTGGGTAGATTTGGCCCATGCATAAATTTAATATAGGGAAAAAATATATTTTCCGTTTACCTAGAGTTACCAGCTTTCATGTATTCTAATTTTACAGTGATACAAACATTTTCCATCCATCGTTTATAAATTTCAGTTTTGGGAGGGGGGTTAAATATGCATGTGTGGGCGGATTCCGCCCAGCCCGTCCAGAAGCGTGAGAATTTTTCGTGTCAGTGTTAGCTCGTGGCTCATACTTGAGTCTCTATTTTCCGCTATTTTTAGCTTCCTTTTTTATAAAATAACACTTCTTTCTTTGGATAAGCAGAATAATCAATCAAGTCAACAGAGAGAACTATCCCTGCCAACCCAAAATATATATGTTTTAGAGATTAGTCAACCACACTTTGGAATAAATATTCCAGCAGACAATTGATTTACTTCAGTAGAATTAGTTGATAAGTTGAAAGAACATGGCCTTACATATTTAGGAACGATGAGAAAGAACAAACCTTAGATTCACTACAATTTCAACCGCACCCTAATAGAGATTCAGGAACCT